GGGAAAGAGATGAAGAAGCTCTATAATGGCAAAGGTAAGAGGATCCACCCCTCACCTCCCCCTTCCTCTCCATGGGACTTCCTCGCAGCCCTCCCCGCCGCCCTCCTCTCCCTCGCCGCCGCACTCTCGCCGGAGGAGAAAGAAGTCCTCGTCTACCTCCTTTCCGATACAGCTTCTGGAAAGAAGAAGCCCCATCTACTCCCTCACCACCAACGAAACCCCCCACCGAAAGACCCCCCCGCCGGAGCTGCGCTGCGGCTGCTTCAGCTGCTACAAAAGCTTCTGGGCTCGTTGGAACGCCTCTCCTAACCACCACTTAATCCATCAAATCCTGGATGCCGTCGAGGAGACTCTACAATCTCAATCTATTCCTTCTTCCCGCCCCAGCCGCCGCCGCCGCCGTGGAGGCCGCCGGAAGGATTCCGGCGAGGAAATTTCTTCTTCGGCTTCGTTTGTTGCAGTGGAGGCGACTAATCCGGGTGATGTGGATGGGGATGATGAGGGGTATGATGGTAATGCGGGAGAGGGGGAGGAAGAGGATGAGGAGGAGTTTGATGGGATCGGAGAAGCCGCCGGCGACGGAGGAGATGACCGTAGTCCGGTGAGGAGGCTGGTGAGTTTTATTGGGGAGAGGGTTTGGGGGGTCTGGAACTATTAAAGCTTCGATTTTTATTTTGTTCAAGGTGGAAATGGGTGGTTTTGACTGGTTAGAGAAGAAACCATAGGTTAGTTCTTTTGCTCCATCTTCTTCTTCTTCTTGTCAGGATTTATGGTGTTGCCCTAATTCTGACTCTCCCGGTTCCTTCAATTCTCTTGTATAGTATAATTTCTTTTTTTTTTTCCTTTTATCCTTTGTGTTATGCAATAAAAGATTGCAACTTTATGGAAAATTATGGGCATTAATGGCTGTTCTTGTTGAGTTAATGGTGAAAATTGTTGTTTTTATTTGATTTAAAAGAAATTTTTTTTCCAGTTCTGGGAAGTTTTGATGGATGGTAAAGGGCATTTAAAAATCAAATTTTTAACCCAAAAAAATATGATTTTTATAATTTTATGAAAAAAAAAGAAAGTTTTTGTAATTTGGTTGGCAAGAACCTGCCTGAACTCTGTTTTTTTTTTTGTTTTTTTTTACTTACAATTTTTTTCATCAATTTGATAGAATTCAGCTGTTCTTGTTACTGCTAAATTTTAGGATTTAAATTGTAATACTTTGATAATTAAATTATTTTCATATTATTTAATGTAGCTAATTTTTTTTCTTTCTCATAAATAATAAATCCGAAAATAAATAAATAATCGAACAGTTAAGAAGTTATATGTCAATTAATTTGTAGATTTTAATGCTCCCAAAATTTATGGAATATAAATTTGCTGGATTTTTTAAATCCTATATGAATGATTTTTTGAAAAAATATATATTTATAATTCTCATTTGCATATTTTAGTCCTTAAAAGACTGTAAAACCCCAAAATAGACCCTTTATAAATGAGGACATTTCAATTTTACTTTTTGAAAGATTTACATAGGCATATAATGTAATTTTTATTTCTTTATGTCTAATATTTAACTTTTAATTCATACATGTCATTCTATCTATTTTTATAAACATATCCTATACTTTATAAATGAAGCCACGTTGCTCACCAATGAAGTGTATGAAAATGTAACTCCCGGAGGTTGGCCCTCTGGAGATTTGCGATGTCTGGACAGAATATTTTGTGGTGGAGAGCGAGAGAGTTATAAGCCACGTTGCTCACCAATGAAGTGTATGAAAATGTGACTCCCGGAGGTTGGCCCTCTGGAGATTTGCGACGTCTGGACAGAATATTTTGTGGTGGAGAGCGAGAGGGTTACGTGAGGATTGTCATTATTATGCATAAAGCTGAGAAAGCATTGGACGCTTTAGAACCTTGCTTTGTGGCAGAAATAGTGGGGAGTCTTTTGTCTTTTGTTAGTTTATTTGTATGATTTACATACATAACTCTAAAGTTTATGTATTTACTTATCTAATACCTAAATTTTATTTTTTTGCTTACATATTATCTTACCTATGCATGAGATGTATTTCAGTTTTCAAAAATTAAAAATATGATGTCCCCCATAATTTATGCCTTTAGTCACTTAATATCTTATGGACACCTTCAAATATTCATTGTAATTTGCATGTGATTTCTTACATTCAACCATCACCATCAGCCATTCAATAGTGTCCATCATTATCTTATGTATGCTGTTAATTAATATGGTGTTCCTTATTATTTCAATAGTTTATTGATTGTGTGTGGTGGTTCATTAGAAGCTGAGATAAATAACCTTATTCACTTATTTATAAATTAATTTTGTATGCACATAATAGTTTAACATCATCTATAGCAACTATTCTTACTTGTGTCGATTAGTAATAACTATATTGAATGATTGTTTTTGCACGTAGACATAAACATCCCTCATTCGGGCATTATTATCTAGTCAAGTTATTCATTCTCCATCAATTAGTAAAGGATGATGCATCACTTCAAATATAACTTGAAAAAAAATAATTTCTCCTCCTTAAGAAGCAATTAAAAACAAGGAGAAACCGCGTTGGCTACAACTTTTAAAGTTGTTCACATCACTGTTTTATGCATTATTATGGATAGAAATGTTCCTGATATTGTCAATCAATGCAACAAGTCAATGTACATATCCATGTAGTCAGTTCCACACAATATATTGAAGCAAAATGACAAAACCCCTTCAATATGATGAAATTTAAGAAACCATAAAATTAATTTTAAAAAAAAACTATTTAGTGATTGCAACTTGTATCAAGATTGGCAATGACAAAAAACTATAATATATTGTAATTTCATTATTTATTTCCTTTTAACCATCTTCTTTTGCTCCATAGCTGACCCCATTTGATCCACCTCAAATAACATGCTTGCCAGCTCAATTGCAAGTCATAATGTTTTCTTCTCTTAAGCAACTTTTGTCTACTAAACCTAGCCATGATGTTGGCTTCTCGTCGACAGAATTTGTGGTATATTACACATCCAACCACAGTGCTTGCTTCTCGTAGAGCAACTTTATAGTTGATTGTGTTGCTTGTTCCTTTGAGTAACTTCACCATTCCACTCCATATCCAAAGTTATAGCCAACCATGGCTCTCACTCCTTAAGTAGTTTGCATTACTCTATAATCAATGTCATCAATTTCTTCTCTAATGATATATTCATTAAATACTTTACATTTAGTCAAACATGCCACTCTGTCCTCCATTGATAGCTTTATCAGTTGTACGTACATTTGGTAGTGCCAATCTCTGAGCAATTTATCGCATTACTCAACTCTTTCTTCTTTTAAGGCTAAGGCAAATAATCTTCCTCTCTTCATCAATGTGAATTATCATACTTGCAACAATATGTTTTGCATATTTGAAAATAAACATGAAAATAGTAATTTGTTGAATGCTTTACAAACTATAGCATTACATGATTTACATACATACATACATATAATGATGAGAAAATGAGAGAGATGAGAAAATGAGAGAGAGAGAGAGAGAGAGAGAGTATGCAAGCTCTTGGGCTTCACTTGTTACAAGTTCCTGCATAAAATATATGCTCCTGATCAGAAACACCTTAATCAATCATCAAATAATACATTTTCTATGGATGTGATGACTATCATGAAGCTGAGAGCCCAAAAAAAACTTCATATGTGAGGTGCTAACCACTTGAGCTGTTAGAAGGCAAAATTTGTAGGAGAAAATGCGAAGCAATATACATTCGGATCTAAATTTAATTATAACCAAATTTATAAATATTAAATTATTTTATAATAAGATTAATATCATATTATAATTATTTAAATACAAATTTAATGATCATTAAATTCTATCAAATTCAAATCAGCATGTTGACCTCAATTAT